CCTTCGTTACCGCTTTTTCTGGGAACCGGGGGTTTGTCCAAGTGTTAGCATTCCGTGGGTTTGTCCAAGTGTTAGCACGTGCCAATAGTAGTCACCAGCTGGACCTGGTCTTTCGAGGGTTCTTCACCATCACGAATTGGAAAGGAATGAACAGTTCATGAAGAACCGGACTGTCCCAGTCGGTCTAAGAAGTGATCCGTATGGGACGCGGTTAAAAACCTTTTCAAGCACAGAAAGAGGGCAGGCTTTCCCCACGGTGTCTCGAACCATTTGAGCCTAATCAGGATTACAGAAGAATCTCAGTCAAAGGCCCCCCAACCTCCACGTTCATTCCACTCTCCCAGCAATGTCGAGAAGAGCCGCTCGCACACCGACTGGATTGGACCACGACCGCACGACATATCATGGCTAAAGAAATGATGTTGTATTCATGGTCTACATTACTTCAGAACCACTAACGAATGTGGAATATTTTTGGTGAATTTTTATGCGTTTTATCGCTGCATGAGTGGCGTAAAAGGAAGTTAGTTTCGAGTTGCTCGGCTGTTTTTGAGACGATCATTTTGCATTTATCAGTGCACAGCAAATATACATCAGCCTCAAACATACATCAGAGCAAACAAATGCAAGGCACTCAATTTCGATCCGAATAAGCTTTCAACGCTTTCATACAAATTTTTTTCACCAAAAATCAATATAAACGGTTTGGGTATGCGGTTTTCCAATGAAGAGAAAAAACAATTTCAGGCATTCCGAATAAAAAACTGTAACTCAACCTTTAAAAGAGTGGTAGGCACATTTTTTAATAAGTAATCAACTTCTACAGCAAACTTTCCTGAGCTGAAGAGATGGAATACTTTAGAGGAAAATTTACTACCAAAATCGAGTTTCGTTATGGGTGTTTGTTTTTTAATGCTGCAAAATCAGACACAGAATTCGTTTCAAAATGCAAACGGAATCAATTTGCATAAATGTGATTTTCAGGCTTGTATTAGTGGAGAATCTCACATTTTTTTTGGAGCAAAGTTGAATAAATCATGAAACAGTAATAACAGAGGCTTTCATCCCTTTTTAGAAAATCTTTTGCACATTTATTGCAGATTTCTGCAGTACATTCCACTTAAGCTGAACTGTGTGAAAGCCTATCGTCCACGCGTGATTTTGCAGATTAACAGTAATATCTCGATTTTCGTGCACGAAGGCGCCCAAAAATCTATGGAATGAAGACACTGAGTGATAGAATACCTCAGATACATCTTGCCCTATGAGAAAGACTGCCCAAATTCAGTTCGTTTGTAACTCTGACATTTACAGGAGATCTGTCACCGAGTAACGTAATGAATTCATTACCGCCGAGTGCCGAATTTCGTTTTTTTTTAATAAACAAGGAAATGGCAATCCAGAAAATCAAAATTAAGTTTTGATGGCAACAAATGAACACAGGCTTAAGTTTTAATAATTTTTCACACGCAAACAGAAGTCTCCAGTTTAGAAATGCTAACTTGATAAGGGCCGGAACAAAAGGATCAGAGGTTCGTGTTTTTCTCCGCTCCACACTCTGAAATCGCCACGAACACAAGTCCAGCAACACAAGTTAGGATGACTAAGTTGTCTCGCACGATTAAAAGGCAAAATATGCCTCGTTCCCCTGATCAGTCAATTCAAAAGCTGGCTTTTTTCGCAAAATTTGCCCAATGCTCCACAGTATGCCGTCCCAAGTCATAAACGAGCGAATGGTGTTCGCATCCGGTTCCACTTCGCCGGTTAAATCGTGGTTGCGATATAGCTGTGGGAGCAGTGGTCATCGGTTCGGGATCGTCTGTGTCGCTGCTACTCTCCATCCATCCCTCACTGCTGTCGTTGGCCGGATTGACGCGCATCATAAATTCGCAAAGCTGTTCAAAATCGCGACTTTGCATTTGTAAACTGCTCCGAACGAAATCACCGTTCCGATAGTTTCGACCGCGTCGTTGAGCCTGTCTACTCACTGAGGCACTTCCATTTGATCGCCTGTAACAGTGTAACAAGCATCAATCCCATTTATACTCAGTTCGATGTTGCTAACTGCTCTGATTGTCGTGCCACGCGATGATAAGTTAGGGAATTGAGCAGCAATCAGTAAGGTTTTCTTCTGAGAGAGAAAAGCTGCAGCAGAAAAAACTGGTTGAACTGAGGGGATAGTAAATCATTTTGTGCTTTATGCAGGATTATACCCAGGCTGGAACGCACCAGGCGAGCTGGTGCAATCATACGTTTTTTAAACAAACTTTGAAGTACCCCATCAAATTTCCCTGCTCCTGCCCCACCACTTCCACCCGCTGTTTTCGTCCCCGTCCTGGATATTTATCTTTTCGAAGCGGTGATATTGGGTTGCAATATACAGTACAATTACAAAGCGGTATTCTGTGAGCACGGTACGATGCGATATACTGTGGTGCACAACCCCTCGCTGAGCGGTCTAACGCTGCTCACTTGTGTGATTGTTTGGTTCGGGGGTGGAAGTGGTTGCCCTCGGTGTTAGGGAGGGGGGGGG